TGGCTCTTCCATGCCCATTCTGGCCTGAGCCCTGCAGCGGATACTGGTTGCCAGCACAGGTAGGGCCAAAGCACAGCATTAAAATGCTCTCTTTAATCAGGGGCAAGGGCAGGGAACAGAAATAAACAATTAAGAAGATGGAGCTGGTTTGGGGATTAGGGCAAACAGGCAGAAGAGCTTCATATCTCTCTGGCCTCAGTACCTCAGAGCCAACGAGACTTTCCTTGTGTCCCCTTCATCAGTAACTCTTGTTATTCAACACTTCCCTTGAGTTAACTTCTCCCAAAAGCCACTGGTGACTCTGCCATTGTGCTCCCCTCTCCTTCTAAAGCCCTATGTTTTAATTTGTTTGCATACTAAAGCTAGTAGCTGATAAGAAAAAGCAAGTTTCTGTGGCTGGCTGTTCGCTCCCCAGGCAGGTGACTGCCCTCACCTCCTGCCTGGCAGCTGCAGATAATACTCCGGAAAGTGTTTTCTGCACTTCCAGGGTAGCAGAGAGATGATAGCTTTGCTCAGCCTCCCAGCTCTTTTCCCACAAGTAGGAGCAGATGTTCCTTGCATTGAGGGAAATCACGGGAACAGCGGGGAGGTCCCTGCTGCGCCCTAAAACAGGCTCTTGTGGGACAGAGTGCCTTGTGCTCTCCTTGAAGCGCACTTGCTGCAGATGTCTGGCTCCCAAACATCTGCATTTATTTCCTCACCACATCTTTGAATTTAACACCTCCTCCTCCCCTTGCCTGTTAAAAAGCAACAGCCTCTTGAAAGTATCATCTTAATTCTCCAGTGGAAATGGTTGAAGGTGACTTTTCTGGAGTGAAGGTGACGTGCTGCTTGAATTGTGCTTTCCTTAAATGGGTATTCACTTATGTGTCTATATTTTGTTGAAATAGAACATCGGTAATCACTTTATGTTCTTAACTTAAAGACTGTACATAATGAAGCTTTGATGAAACTTTCGTGTACAATTATGGATGATAAGTGAAATAATTTGTAGACCTTTTTTTTTTCAGATAGTTAAGGTATGCTGTAGCATTTTGTTGGTTGATTAATATTTGGATAGCAGTGTAAGTATTTGGAGCGTTATGAAAGTGAAATTTTGTCGTTAATAGTAAATCAGCATCTGTAACCAGGGTTTGTTACATATTTTGGGCGAATACTGGCCCCATTGAACTCAGGGAGAATTTTACCATTATCTTCAATAAAATCAGAGTTTCATCCTCCCATTGTAAAGGATCTTTAACAGCCACTTATAATCTTGTCAAAAACTCTGTCTGAGTGAAACTAATCCCATAGGGCTTTTATTGAGACAGAATGATGGTGGAGGAGGGAAGCTTTTAAATGCTTCTGTTGGAAAGAACTGCAGTGCTTGTGCTGTGACAAAAAAAATCCTGGTTTGGAGACTGTCTCTAGCTCAGATATCTGTGCTGCAGTGAGCACAGCAAGATCCTTCTGGAGTGACCATATTAAAATGATTAGGCAAAGGCTGTTTCACATATGCATGCCAAAGGCCTCCTTTCTCTTCTTTCTATAAATGCAAACTGGGAGTAGTTTTGTTATAATCATCTGTGTAAACGAAAGTATGCAAAAGGTACCTAAGCTTTAACATAATGTTAAAAGCCAAAGTGTGCAAATATCACCCCAGGTGATATTTGAAGGAGCAAATCCAGATACCAATTTCTTTGTGACTCCTCGAGCTATGATGTGAATATATAGTTTGTACTTTGCACCTAGGAGCAAATCTGTATGCCGTGACCCATGCTTCCAGCCCCCAGAGTGTAAGAGATGGCTGCTGCGCTGTTTTTGTTTCTGCACGCGGTAGAAAATCCAGTCTCTCTGAACCAGGAGTCAATTTAGTGATTCTGTTTTTCAGGTCCTCACACAGTAATGAAAAGCAGCTACTGTTGGACACAGAGCGCTCTGCAGAAATTCAGGGTGGTGACATTTATGGGGTGTATCAGAACCCACAGTCAAGTTTTCTGTTGCGTCGCCCATTACGAGATGCTTCACAAGCGTCGGGTAATGCACACTTCATAAGAGGTAGCTAGGAGAGTGTTCTCTGAGCATTTTAAATTTACATAAGAGGATCAGCCACATACTTTTTAATAATAGCATGTAACAAATAGGTATAGCCAGTTCATTTGTTCAAGATGGCCAGACTAGGAGTGGCTACGGGAAAAGGACAGAAGCATATAGATATCATTGACAGCAAGCAAAAGGAACTTCTTCATCCAAAGAATTCACATTAAGGAAAGGAAAGGCTGTACCCAAGCACATATGCAGCTGCTAAACCTGGCTCTCCCCACCCCTGGGCTAGACCCAGAAGACTGCACCAGGCACCATCCTTTTGAGGAGTGCGCTGCCTTTTGCTGGGTGAGGAGTTCAGAGGGGGGTACAGGAGTAGCCCTGGCACCACCTGAGTCTTTGTGGCTTCTGAGACAGGTAGTGGTGGCCAGGTGCCCTCCAGCCTTATGTGCTACCCTTTTATTTAAGACAGGCAAAAATAATTTCTGGAGGGACTTAATTAAATTCCACAAGGTCACAGTCTCTGTGCACCTCATCTTCACTTCTCCTCCACATTTACAGTTGAGGAATGTCGACAGCCTTCCTCATTACACATAAAGGTTATTTCCAGAGATGCGGGCAGCAGGATACAATTCATAGGACAATCAGATGAAGCAGAAGGTCGTGTTCATAATTCTACATTGAATTTTCCTTTACTTCCTGATTCCAGCTGGGGGGCAAAAAGACAGCTACTGTCTTGGTAAGATGGATATAAGGATCCCCTCCTTCGATGTTAGCAGATGACAAGTATGTGTATTAAAACATTGTCAAGCTGCAGCCTTTGGAACAACGTACTTGAACTGTTGGTAGACAAAGAGACAGGAGGTGGACTGCAGTAAACCACGCCAGCTTTCTTATGGCACTTGGAGCAAGGTTTCTGAATTTATCAAGAAAATTAAATTTGCAATACTTAGTACAGAAAATATAAAAATGCATTGGAGGGATGGCAGCTTTCCTTTCAAGTATCCATTAGAGTGATTTTTATGAAAAGGATGCAAGTTCTTGGCAGGATGCTGCTAGAACCAGCCTGTTAAATTCATCCACGTAGCACTCTCAGTGACTGTGGCTTTGCTGGCTTTGGTGCCCAAGGGCAGTCTCCAGTACAGACAACTCCGTATTTTAGTGATTTTAACATTTCTTTTACAATAATAAAGTCCAAGAACAATTTTGCCTAAGGGCAAGTATCTCAGGCCTCAGTAATTTCTTTTCTATATTGTAGACTTCCTGTCTGTTCTTACCAAATGATACATTATCTCTGTTCAGAACCGGATTTTTTTTCTTTTGCTTTATATGGTGTATTATCATTACATTTTCTATTACTGTTTGCAGTTTGCCTTTTTCCCTCCCTGTTTCCCAGCTCATCCTTATGATACGATCTCTAGCCAACGATACTATTGCATTTCTCTGTGCTTATTTTGCCACTTCCAGCTATTGATAAAGCTCCAGAATTTCTATGCGTTGGCAGAGAGTGGAGCCATTTCCCCCAATTTATTGTCCATGTAGCTGGAGTGCCCGGCAAGGCATCATTGTGTTGTATTGAATTGGACTGGCTGAATGCTGTGCCATCTGTACACGGACAGATTGTTACCCTTTATGATCCCTTTGGATAGAAGTTCTTGTAGCAAAAACACTCACTTTGGTGTGCTAATATGAAGCAGTGAGTATATATAGCTAGGCAGTACGGCTAGTGTGGCTGTTGTGATAGGAAAAGGTACTTTTGCGTTCTGGTAGTAGGGCGTTGTGGATTTCTTTGCAGATTTTTGCCCCCCAGGCAGCAGTTTGGTAAGGAGCCAGGCTGCCCTCCAGCAAAGCCCTGCGTCACCCCAGCACTGGGCAGTCTGTGAGGCTTTGGATGTCTCTGGTCTGTCGCCTCTGAGGCAGAATAGCAGCATAAAATGAGAAAGCCATACGGGCATTCATCATGTAAAATGAGATTTGCATCCTCACTATCCTAAGAAAACCATCTGTATTGTGCAAATATCAAAATGGCCTAATCAAAACCAGATTCTCATCGTGCTATGTGCTGCCTGCACCCAGGAAAGTAAGCTCGGGCTCTCTTGATATATTTGATATCAGTATAACTGATACTGCGCTGCTCAGAAATTTACCTCAGACTTCGTGTTCAGCTTGATATGTCAATCATACAGAACATCCACAGGATACATCTATTTTTTTCTAAGTTTTTTCTTCCCTACCCATATGTCCACTATAGCTCAAGAATTTCCATATAGCGGCAGGGAGGTCCAGGATAGAATAGTTTCCCCAGGCAATATGCTGGGGAAAATGATCCTGTTGTTTTTTCCTGACAAGAAGCCCAAGTAATTCACAATTGGACTGTCCTGATACCCTGTCATTTCCACAAAAACTAACTGTAGGGCTGTATAAAGTCATATGGGCATATAGATATGTAATTGAATTTATATATAACTTTTTAATATAGATATAAACATTAATTTTATATAAATGTATTTATTTATAAATATTTATTTTTATGTGGTTAAATAGTTACATCTATATATAAAATCAATGCTTCTTTATGTCCGTAACAGTGCTATACTCAGGAGTCAAGTTCCTATTCTAGTTGCAGTATCTACAGAAAACAGAAAAGACTAAGGTGCATGGCAGAAGCTCAAGTACTTCACGTACTCAAGTTCCTTCACGTACTCATAAGAAAGAATGATGGTACTGGAACAGCTTACATATAAATAAAATCAGTTCACGTGTCTCAGCATTACTAGATAAGGCCTACAGCATGCACCCACAGTGGTCCACCTGGCTTATCTCACATTCAATTTAACGGGGGGTTGCTGTGATTTCAGCAGGCGTGAGGAGACTTCAGGAACAGCTTGCTTGTGTCAGCAGTCCTGTATTGTGCGTGAGAGGCCTAAAGGGAAGGCACCGAAAGAAAAATGATGTGTTTTCTTTTTACTCTCCCACAGATTGACCATCTCTGCTGAATGTCCCATGCAGCTTGAAGATTTCCCCATGGATGCACATGCTTGCCCATTAAAATTTGGAAGCTGTAAGTTCTCTTCTGAAATAAGAACTGAAAAAATCCATTGTTGAAAATCTGGCTTTTCAGGTTCAGCCATGTCTTGTACGAATCGTTCCCCCTTTCCCCACCCCTTCCGTTTTAACATTGCTCATTAGCACCCCCAATCTGCCACCCCTGCTGCTCCCCTGCTGCTCGTTTTCCAGGAGTGTGCTGTATCTGGCACCGCTGCCTTTCAGCTCATGTTTGCATGCTTGGTGATAAATGGTGGGGTCATATGTCTTACATATCCATGTCAAGTGCAACAGCCACTGTTAGATGGAGTAGTAGATGCAGACAGCTGCTAAGTTGGTGACTTGGTTTTACATTTGTAGAAAAATGGAGTTTTTATGGGACAGTATCGGACTGATGTGCTATTGTGGTATGTACGTGAGTCAGACTGCAGTGCAATATCTCTACATCACATATATTAAAAGAGATCTAGAATATTAAAAGAGGAAATATCTTTCCATTTGGCTTTAATAAATCCAGTCCTGTATCTTGTTACATGATGTTGCATACACATGTATTTGTATATATGTGCACATTATTCTCAACTGTATGCTGAACGATGATTTTTCCTCAATTCCAAGCCTCTAATCCACCACACTGCTGCCTTGCCAGAAGCTTACTTTAAAAATAACCTCAGGGGATCAGATGGTTATATTTAGATACAAAGCTCTTAATTAAAGTACAGATGAGGCTACTACAGTAGACATTTTTTATTTTGGTAATCAAATTAGAGGTTCCAGGTGCAATCAGTGTCTCTAAAGACTTTTGAAAATTACCAGGCAAGGCATTTTGCTAGTCCCTGAAGCCACCTAACTTGAGCATTTTTTGATGTTTTTTCAGTCGTATCAATTTAGAGTCACTAATCCTAGCAAGATTAAAGCTTTGCTTTTATCATCTGTATCTGCCCTGGTTTAATACTGGCTATGCATTGTCTTCTAGTGATCGTACTAAGAAGTAAAAACACTGTTTACAGTAACGATTACCAAATTACCAAACTTAAGATGAACTGATTTCCCTTCCCTCTTCCAATTCAGATAGACCCAGTTGCATCTGAATAGCCACCAATATTTTACAAGGTCAGTGCAGGTTCAGGTGTGTCCATTTCCTTCAGCAATATTAATTTATAGCAAAGCCAATATAGATCTGAAGGTCCATACTCCTTTACACCCAACTTAAAAAATGATATGCATTTCATATCATTTTTTTTTCAATGGAAACCATCCATTTCATTCCAAGCTTCAAAATGGGAAAACATCTCACAAGAAAGTGTCATTATTTACATACAGGGTTAAACAAAAACTACTGGAAAAAAAATTAAGATTAAAAAATAAGTTTTCCTTCCTAGTGTCACATATTCTTTACTGTACTGATAGATAAAGTTGAAGTCACACCTGGTGGTCGCTAGTGCAGAATATAGAATTGGGATGCTGGGTAGTTTTATGTAATCCTGCAAAATATGCAATATAAACAGAAAATACATATACTTAAACAGAGAGCCTGATGCAGCAGAGATCTGAAGCTCACCCTTAAAGTTAAATTGATGCTTCGATGCATTAGTATATTAGGTACAGTAAGATTCTAACACCCCATATAGTAAGACCAAAAAAACCTCAAACGTGCAAGTGTGGGAGATGAGATAACATTTCTAGATAAGCTACGAAAGCTTAGAAGGAGTGCAGTCTTCAATCACATTAAAAAAACCCCAACAACAGCAATCTGAATGCAATTACAAGTTCTGCTTGTGTCAAATGTGTTACCTATCAATCCCCTATTAGCACGCAGGTAATTTTAACCTAGGGAAAAAACAACACTGGAAAGTCATATTTTAGGCAAGTGAGGGATGAATGCAGTTTTAGTTCATCCTCCTTGTCACGCTCAGTATGCAATCCTGGAGCATATTTTGCAAGCTACTACAAGTCACCTTTAAGTTCTTCCACAGTGTACAGACATGGAGCCATTTGGCCTGTGCTAGTCCATGCCACTAGCCTCTACAGTAAGTAGATATACAGGAACAAGCTATAGACAATCTTTCAGCCTTTGGAATATCTCTATTACTGATCTGACAGTTCATTAGTAATTTATTGTTATTTAATATGCAGATGTTTGCACAAGTAGCAGCCAATAAGTCAGGGTTTATTGAATTAGCCCAGACGTATTTTAGGAGAATACAATATTTATTCCTTATTTACAGCAGTACAGGTTTGCATTAAGTCATCTTGAGGCTTGCAGCCTGACAAAGCCTACAGAGGTGTATTATACACAAACACATGCCCTTCCTGCTTTAGCTTTCCTCCCTGTTTTTCCCCAAAGGGTTTCTTCTTAATGGTCTTCTTTCCAAGAAGTATTTTGAAAAAGCCTTAAGGAATAGCATCAAAGTAAATGTTAAACACATTATCAATAGAGCTGGGAGGGTGCAGAGGAGATGAGCACTAACTGGTCAGAGGGTGGAGAGCGCAGGGCAGCAAAACAAAGCAGCCGGCGCACGGGCGGATGGGCAGCAGAAAGGATGCCAAGAAGCAATTGGTGCCACATCAGAGGCAGGAGCAGGTTATTATTTTTCTGGCTGCAGGAGCATTCGCTGCACTTGCTATAATTCAGCAAGCAAAAGATAAAAAGCCGTGACATTTCCTTCAGTGTTAAAGAGAAGGAATGTTAATCTTGCTCACAGAAATAAAGGTAAATGTTGAATTTTTATGTCCTGTTCAGCTGGTTTCTTGCTATATTAGAATGGTGGCAGATTTTATGGGCCTAAGCAGCATTATGTGTAGCAACAGAATATTTTGAAGAAATAATTAAAAACAAGGTCAAATACGGGAAAAGGGATATAAAGTTACATGCACGCACCACTAGCCTAGGTACTGGCCAGGCAGTTCAAATGCCAGCTACAGAAGTAATACTTCTTAATGCCCTGTGGTACATCATGAAAAGCTATGCTGGTGAGAGGACAGAAATTCAGGGATGGCTTCTAATGAACTGAACAGAGCAGGTTTTATTTATCCTCCTATTAAGAAGTGCAACACCCCAGTGCTCAGAGATGGCACGATCAGGTGGGTCTGCTCCAGGAGGTCTGTGTGTGTACGCGGGTGATCTCCCTCTGGGCTTGTATCCCTGCTAGTGATAAGGCCACCTGTAGAAATCATCCCACATAAACCTCGTTTAGAGGCATGAGGGAACTGGGGATGATACGAGTGCAGGCTCTTGGGTTGCTGCAAACAATATACTCCCTTCAAATCGGGGTGCTCGGTGGGGATGGCCATGGCAGTCTCTTCTTTACCACGTGGTAGCATGGGAAGGATGCTGGTTTCTTCCATGGCCGAGTTTAAAATAAACTTTCCATTGCAGTTCTAGTGCTGACCCATACTGTAAATAAATTTGCTGGTCAAACAGGCTCTGATAAAATTTCCCGATGCCAGCCACAGTTTTGCTAGCAGCCTCTTAGCCTAAGAAATTCATCCTTACCCCCAAGCTATTTCTGGTGTGGGGAGGAGGAATTAGATAAGACAGCAAGGACATTAAAGCTAGGAAGCTTTAATGTTTCACCTCTTCCACTGATAGGCCTTAAGAGTACATTAAAAGTATCATTTAGTACAGTTTCCAAACACCCATGTGTCACTGGGTAGGTAAGCATCATTATCTCTAGGGCAGCTGAGGCAGAGAAGTTAATTGACTTTCCTTAAGGTCACACAGCAAATCAATGTCAGAAAAAGGATTAGACTCAACTTCTTTGGTCGGAGAGACAGATGTCTAATCCACTAGACCATGAAGGCCTCTGCCCAGGCAACTGACTTAACTCCTAAATCTCATTTTACTCATGCGTTAATTATATCAGTTTTACCTAGCTCACAGGGTTGCCCTGAAGATGAATTAGTTAATTGCTATTAGTGAACATTAACCAGTGCTTTGACAATATCAGATACTTTAAGGTGGAGTCTATTTATCCCAACTGTCTCTTGAAGGGACAGTGTCTGAGTACTTGTAGTTACCAGATCTTGTACTGGAACAGATAAATGCATGAAGCTGCAGCCCACTAGTCACTCACCGGCAAAAAAAAACCCTACTATTTTTAGAGTAAGTAGAGAGTCTAATGAATATTCAGAAAATAATGAGATCCCCTAGCTCAAGAGCAGAGAAAAAAAACAGGCCTGGTGTTTATTCCTGATGAATTCAAGTCGGCCATGAAGATGGCAAAGGTTGATCACTGTTGATCAAAAAGGGAGCTTGCCGACTGGTTGTGAGAAAACAGCACTAGGTACAATTTGTAGCGTCTGAAGAAAGTAGTTAACACAGTTTATGTACACCTTCCTTTCTAACAGCTCAAAGTGAGTCATGGTGTCTGCTGTGGTCTTTGATAAAGGGAAGTGCACAGGCTATTTCTGTAGCAGGAGGCATCCTCAAATTATCTTCCTCTAAGGCAGCTGGTGAAGTCAAAGTAATGAGGAGTCAGTAACTTCACCAGCATCCCAGGATATTATTGCAACACTTAACATTAAGGCACTCACTGCTCAGAAACTATCCATGCACCTGCAGCCGCTGAGAAATTTCTCCAAAAAAGTGTTTTAAGACAATTCCCCTGATGGTGATGTTTCCCTATAATGCTGAGAAGGCACTAAGGTGAAGGCACCTACAGGGGGTTTCTTGATTTTGTGCTTCCCCCCATTAGCATCTGTGAAGCTGCAGGAGAACTGAAGGTGTGGAGGGAGAACTTCAGAACAGAGTCCTTCTAAACAGACTCTAATTCTGGTTTAGTAAAATGTGATAAAGAATATATTCAGCCTCTCAAAGACTATGGGTAAAAGTCTTGTAGAAGAATATAACAAAATGAATAATAAATGAAGACAAATGTTAATTTTAGGAGACTCTGAAAGGGGAAATGGCTCTTTGGTAGGTTTTCCTGGGATGCTCCCAGGGAGATCTGGAACTGCAGTCTCACATGTAGAAGCAGAGCTTTTTTGTTACTCATTTCTATTAGCTGGCCAGAA